TGATCCATCTTATCTGGTCCACCAACAAGGGCCCCAACAACAAGATTAGGGTTTGGATCATTTCTTTGAAACCAGTTATCATACCCCTGAGTGCACCCAATAAATCCCTTGTTCTCTCTATAAGATTCAATGGATGCTCCTCTGTGGTGCATCCTTTGAGGGTACCTTGAACCATATCCAACCAAGTAACTCATGGCCATTGGATTAGCACCCAAGATGTAATCAACCTGTGATTTTGCAAAAGCAAAGACTTCTTCCGGACCCACGTCGCCGCGATCGCATCTCAGCCGTTGATTTGAAGCTCGAAGATGATCAGAGTAAACTGTGAGAAGGAATGCTGCATTTGATACATATTGCATGTTATTCCATTGGCGGATGAACAATAACCCTCCTGGGGTGCGGTTCACATTTGTCACATTGTTTTTGTTAAGGCAAGCACATAAATAGTAATCAGCCTTTGAATGATACTGTTCCAATACATGCTTGAATTTCATTTTCCTATGCTTTTCTTCCACCAACAGCTGCATCAACAGAGAAATTGGAATAATAAATGTTAACAATTTTTTTTCATAAAAGAGACGGATGCATAAGAAAGAAATTGAGGACGGAAAATTTGCACGTGTAAAAAATCGAACCCTAACCTTGCATTAGATAAAATAAGGACTAGATTCAAATAAAATCCGAAAAACAGCTTTGATGATATTATTAAAAGAAATACGAAAATTTTATGTGCATATGTGGGTGCAGACACGTATATATTTTTACCATGGAAGCAATGATCTGAAGACCAGCAAACTTGACATCCCAACTAAACTCAGTTACGGACCAAGTAATCCCACCAAACTCATTTGCCATCTCCAAAGCATATCTCAAATAATCCTCATTGTCGGTGGCCTTATATAGCCACAAAGCTGCCCACAACAGCTCATCTTCAAACCCACTCACCGACGGATAGTACCCTTTCACCACCTTCACACTTTCATCATACTTCCCTCTAAACTTGTCTCCAAATTCAAACAACTGCCCAAATTTATAAAAAAAAAAAAAAAAAAAAAAACCCATTTTTTAGTTAAATTCAAATGTATTAATAAGCAAGAAATTAATATGCTGACCAAAAGCTTGCATTATGTTACAATATGGCAATCTCATTTAAGTAGGCTTACCTGTTGTGCATGTTGCAATAGTAGACGAGAGTAATGTGGGTTTGCTGTCCTAAACACAATGGAGGCTGACGCCATTGCAGCTGCTGTCTCACCGGAGACGTCCGATCCCGGGTTCTTCTCATCCACCTTGTAGGCTCGCCGGGATGTTGTCATGTCCTCCGGCCGCTGCCAACAGTAATGATCGGTGTCACCGTCACCCACCTAATTAAAAACATTAAATATAAAAAAGTTTAGTTATTTTTTTCTTGTATGAATATGATGTGAAGTAGTATACATAAGAAATTAAAAAAGAATTATAATTAAATGATCGAAGAAAAGGTCGCAAACCAAACTTATAACTAAAGTATGGAAAATCAAAATATAATATGTTCGGTGATTTCCTATTTTCAAAAATTGGTGTGGTAGAGTTATCAGTCTTACCTCAGCCCATAAGACATTTGGGTTTGTATGAGCTTTGATGAAATAATCAGTTCCCCATTTGATCGCGTCAAGAGCGTGACTATACTCTCCAGCGGTGGCGATTTCATCTCCATATTCAATGACACCCCATGAGAGCATGGTAATGGTGAATGCCATAGGCAGGCCAAATTTCACATTGTCTCCGGCATCATAGTACCCTCCCACCAAGTCCACCTTAAATGAGAAAGATACCATACATTACAATATTATAATCATTGATGCCATACATTACAATATATAATCATTTTTTAACATTGAAATGAACAAATATTTGATTTTTAAAACATTGAAGTTTTAGTGCACATGGGGAGATGAGGCTGAAATGGACTACTTACCCCTTGTTCTAGGCCATCGGTGAGGCCAGAATGGTGGCGCCAGGTGACTCTTTGATTGTAGGGCAAGCGGCCGGAACGTTGGGATTCGAAGTAGAGGAGGCTTTTGGAGAGAGCTTTGCCATAGTCGAAAGACTGAGTTAAAGGGAATATGGCCAACAAAGAGATGATCAAAAGAGTGCACCAATGTTGAAGAAACTTGTTTTGATTTAAGTGTTGCCTTTTCTCCTCCATTGGGGATAGCTTCTCCAAGTTTTCTCCTTTCCCTCCCTCTCCTACTCCTCTCTTTTTAGTCCCTCTCCATATATATATAGCTTCGATATTGATAAGTTTGGTAATCAATATGAACTTGCAAAAGTGGAATTGATCTACTTTTTTTTATTTTTTTACTGTTTCATATCGCTTTACGCAATTAAGAATATAAAGTCATGTATAGATCCAGTCAGGATTTTGTTTTTATTAAGGTGATTTTTTTGTATTATGGGATGACCGTTTCAAAAATTATGATATTTATATAGTGATTAGATCATCATATTTAGTTAAATTTAATAATCAAGTACATAATAATAATAATTTTAGTTCATGAAAGTAATTAAATTACTATTTTAATTAGTGATAAAATTTTTATTTAAAAAGTTAAAAAACTTTTATTATTAAAGTAAAATGACATGTAAAGTTAATTATAATTAATATTAGTCTTTTAAGGTATGAATTAAAAATTTTTGACTACGTAGGCTGATAGAAAAAAACTATTACTATCCTATATTCATTTTTGGAAAGCAAATCAATATTTGAAATGATTGACCAGTTATTTTAATTGTCAAATAGGAGCATAGTGTACCTTAAAAAAGAATGAATGCAAATAGATTGATTGAGATAGAGAAGAAAAAAAAAAGAAAAGAAATTTGCTTGTACTAAATGAAAAAATTATGTTACTTATGTTTATAGATAAATGTAAAAATTAATGTGACAAACTCTAGATATAAATATATGATTTATTGTTTAATTAAATTAATATTTTCATAGACTGAAAATGGAAAGGAGAAATAAAATCAGAGAAAAAAAAAGTTACAATAAGCACTATAAAAGGCCGAAAAAAGGTGAACAGAAGAAAAAAAAATAAAAACCCACAAAAGCAAAGGCCTAAAGTGCAATTAGAAAAGGTGCAAGAGAAAAATAGCACAAAAGGAATGGCCCAAAAATCTTTTTTTTTTTTTAGCACTCTTAGATTCAATTGCAATAGAGATAGGATCAGCTTATCGACTTTTAAGAAATTTTATGAATTTTTAAAATTTGATTCGAATTTAAAATTTTATTGATTCGGTTTAGTTTATCAATTTTAAAATTTTTTTATTTTTATATATTATTTTAATAAAAATTTTAATATATTTAAATTAATTTTTATATAAAATAATTATTTTTGTTTTATAAAAAATTAAAATATATATAAATTAATAATAATATATAATTCAATTTTATTCAATTTTTTTTATTTTTCATGTTTCTAATCAAAATTCGATCTAAATTTAATATATATATTTAATATCTGAATCACATATGTAATTGATCGAATTCGAGTCGATACAGTATTAAGCTCGAGCTTAAACTTGATTCGAAATTTGATGTTCGAAACTCAATTCGAACTTGATTAAGTTTTATTTTTTTAGCTCGAATTCGACTCGAAATAAAAATTGAACTACTCAAATTCGTTCAATTATGTAGTACTAATATATTATTTATACTCCTAATCTAAATTGAATTAAAAAAAATCAATCCGAATCAAATATTATGATTTCGAATTTATTTTTAATTTTTTCGATTTTTTTCTCCTCTAAGATGGTCCCCCTAATGGTTCCTATTCTGGAGGGTTGTTCTTTCATTAGATATGCTTTTTCTCAAGGGATTAGCCATTCCCTGCTCTCAAATTTATCTTCAAAACTAAGGTAATTAATCATTACATCTATATACTGTTACATAAAAGTGACAAAATGAATTCAAATATGAAAAAAAAAAAAAAAAAACAAATTCCAATATGCTCAAACTTGATTTGATAAAAAAAAAAAGTGAAAGATCCAAATTTAAAAATATTCTAATTTAACATGAAAAACATGTTAAAAAGATTACATCTTATGTAATTATATATATAGTGTGCTTGTCTTCTGAAACAAAAGAAAGTAGCACTTTCTTTGTTTAAAACTTTAGCAGCTTGAACCACAAATTTATTGGTTACTAACTTGGGATTTGTGATACTGGTTATATAGCAATGTCAATATTTCAAGATCCTTCGTATTGTCTATTCACTCCTCAATGATCCTGACCTCTATCACGGCATTGAATATGAGGTTGGCCTAGCCTCATATCAAACAGAGAGAGTGGAAACCGCAAGGGCATTGACCAAGGAGTATGTAAACACATGTAAGATACATGTCAAAAACAATGAGGATGTCCTTCGGGAACATATGTAGATATTTCGAAAACCAGCAAATTTATTGAAAATGCATGAAAGCTCCCCCACTACTGAGCTTTGAAGGCCTATTCATCAATTCATTGTTTATGTTTTTGTTTTTGTTTGTTTTAATGAACAATCCATGGTAGGAAAAACTATTCCTTACGGTTTCGGATATTTATTCATGTGTATTAGCATGCATGAACTGATAAAGCTGACCTGAACATGAAAATTTTATCAGATTCTTTCCAATCCTAATCTTGTGTGTTTTTTTTTTTTTTGTCACTAACAAATTTTTTTCTTTTATTTATTTCCTAGAAGAATCTTTTTTCTTTTTCATTTTTTTGTCACCGATGGATTGTTAATGAAATACTTACAGATTTTACTGTTAATAAATTCTATTGTTAATAATTTCATCGATAATTATTAACGAAATTTATCGATGAAAATTCTTTAAGTAATCATCGATGAATTTTATTTATTAATTATTGATGGAATAATATTATCAACTTGACTAACATCAATAAATTTTTTCCGTCAATAATAAAAAATTAACTTTTATCAATGAAAATTCTATCGGCAAAAAGCATTTTTCTGGCAGTGCAAGTTTAATAATCCAAATTGTTAGCATTTTATACCTTTTGAACATCTTTGTGCTCCAGCCAACAGTACCAGAAACCAAAACTGAAATGGGTAGATTTATTAAGAGTCTCTTGCTGTGAGGGTAGCAAAAAGAAGAAAAATGAAGGTGAAGAGTTGATGGTAGCTGAAAACGTGATGATTTTTTAGCTGTGGAGAAGCGAAATTTTCTCTACTAAAGTTGATTATATTACACAACTGGATGCATTTTCCGTCAGTACCAATTAAGGACTTTGCAAAAGCATGTGACAAAGGGATTTTGTGAGGCTGGAAACATGCTTTCAGGTCCAGGGAATTGCAATGATGTGCTGATCAGGTTTACCTTATGAGGTCCCAGTTCACCAGGAAAAGGTTCCCTTTTTCAATCTTCTGAAGAGTATTATATTACAAGGAAAAAGAGCTAGCTCACGCCCTTGCACACCTTAATCATTTTCCATTTGTAAAAAGCACAAAAAAATAAAGGAAATGCAAACAAGGCACGACTGCTTAATAGATAAATAGTGTAAGAAAAACATGAACAACTTAACCGCACCTTTCTAGTGTATATATATCTTGACTAGTTTCCTTATAATTTTTGTGCATCTTCAAATGAACCGGTTAGCCAATGCTTTCATTGCTTTGCTTTTGCCATTGTTTCTGTTATTGCCAATTGAGATAGTAGAAGCTCAAGTAAAAACCAAATGGGTGCATTGGAATGCAACTGCTGGCTCATCACCATGGCTAGGGCAAGTAGCAAACGCGAGGCCAAGACCAGGTGTGTGCATGTTCACGCCATGGACATGTGAACGAGGAGAACATCTACCAACAGCTCGGATGCTGTGTTGTGGGAACCAATGTGTTGATGTTTCCTCTGATGATACGCACTGTGGTTTATGTGGGATTAGATGTCCGTTTAATTGGCAATGCTGCAGGGGAATCTGTATCAATACGAATATTAGCCCTTTTCATTGTGGTAGATGTGGACATAGATGTCCTTGGGGGGTTCCATGCTTGTATGGGATGTGTGGATATGCACAGCCTTCACCACCACGGCCATTTCCGTGGCCACCACACCCTCCTCATCCACCAGAACCATTCCCCCCTCACCCTCCTCACCCAAGGCGACCACCAATCCCTCACCCTCCTTGTTCTAGGCCACCACCCTTGCCTCATCCTCCCCATCCTCACCCAAGGCCACCACCATTACCTCATCCTCCTTGCTCTAGGCCACCACCCTTGCCTCATCCTATTAGACGGCCTGGGATTTGCCCTCCAGGTTTGCCGCAGCCCCCAGAAGGTGATCAGCCGCTTCAGCCCCCATAGGGTGATCGGCCAGAAACATAGGGTTGAACTTATTGAATTTCCACCTGAATATTCTAGTTGTGTTCCCTATTCTATTGGATTTTATTATCTGCTCACTTTCTCAACAAAGGGAAAGCTAAGATAAAAGTCTTGTATATGTTACAGTAGGATTCCCTGGTGTTTTTCTAGGAGTCCTTACAAAGTGGCATTTGTCTCCCTCAAAATGATTATTCTCTTTACGTTGCTGCTTTGAATTATTGTCAACAGTTATTAAACAATATAAGGGAATGATTAGAGAAATTATCCTTCAATTAAACAGTCAAAATGAAGAGCAAGTTAGCAATTTGCAGGAAGCAGTTACATTTCTTTTTGACTGGTCCTCCTTCAGTTATTTCCTCTTTCAGTGCATTATATTCATCAAAGATAATTCTTCATCAACCCTTCTCCTTATTTTAAACCGACTTTATTCTACTGAAAAACAGGCTCAGCCTTCACATCAAATCCATTCATGAAATGGGTTGAAAAATCCAAAATCAATGGGACATCACACACCCTAAGCCAATTATGATGTTACAACTTATTAATTAGGGTTTTTAGGCCCTTCATGGCAATGTGATAAGTGAAGCAATCAAAAACAAAGACTTTGCCAGCATATAAAAAGCTTCCATAAACAGCCATAGTTGTATACTATTTAGAAGCAACATCCACAAACAGAGTCATGAAGCAAACCACATAGTTTCAGAGGTTATATACAATAGGTCCTAATTTCACAAGTACTGCCACTGGAATCATACATAAAGTAACCTGAAAACCAGCTAGTTAGACCATAGCACCACCCGTTTGATGTAGCATTGCATCTATCTCATCCCCATCCTCCATTTCCAACTGCAACAACAAAAACAAACCAAAAAAAAAAAGGGTAAGAAACAAGAAATACAACAATAGCGACAGAGAGAGAGAAGAGAGACATACCTCATCTGGAGTCTGCTCCCCTCGCAGACGGCGGCCATCAAACAGGAAGGCAATAGAGTTGAACTCCACTGATTGCCGATCACAGTATGCATTCATAAGCTTCTTCAATTGAGTAGTTCTTTTAATCCTAAAGAACACTTCATTCCCATCCTACAAACATGCAGATGGATGAATTAGCATCTTGTAACTTAACATCCTTAACATTATTTCAATCCAGATATGCTCCATAACATAATCCACCCTAACTTAAAGTAAGACAAGAGTTCTCATAAAATTATCTTTCTTATTTAGGTGTTCCAAGCACAGAAGCATAATCTTCCTTACATTTCCATTTAACTAAAGCATAACCCTTCGTGGTAAACTGTTTAAATTACCAATCCATGCTCAAAAGAGACAATCATGCATACAAAAAAACGACACATGGTGATGCCATAATTATCAAAAGTCTTGATTCAAAACATAGATAAACATCATAGAAAGACAATTCACTCTTGACATTTCAAATAAAAATTTGTTCGAGCATACGCTACTACTTGATTTGCTTAAAGAATGACCATAAAATGCTAGACATCACTAAATAATATGAAACAAGATACTATAACCTAGGTAATGAGCATACTATTGCCATTAGACCTGGCAATCTAAAACACAAAACAAACATGATAAGAAAATAAGACATAAAGGTGACAATGCTTAAAATTTTAAAATTAACTACACATGAGTATAACAAAAGTAAAAAATATATATATTTTATATTTTCATATCAACATAAATTATGACATAATTTTCATATAAAATACAATATATATATATAAACAAATTTTAGTATTTTATACAATACGAATACACAAATTCAGATCTAATTGTTGTCTATAGACCAAATTACGCCGCACTGTTTTTCTCTTATAACTATTTCCATATCTGATTTAGCCTACTCTTCTTTGCCATGTTTAAAAATCAAATTCTTTTTATGTGAAATTACATACCAATTCAAGCATCCTGTAAGTGAAATAAAAAATATCTTAATTTTCATGCTTAGCAAAATAACACAATAAAAGATGTAAATTTGTGGGGGAAAACTAAAATTTATAACAGTAAAAGCCAATTGATAGATGAAATGTATCCAAAGAAAGCAATTCTAAAAAAGAAAATAATTCAAAAAAATTCAGTTCATAATTTTTCTAAAATTAGGTAAACAATGGGACCCAAAAAAGAAGAAATTTACTCAAAAAAAACCCAAATTTAAGAATTTTTGCAGTACAAAATAATCAAACTCCTAAAAATTAAAACCCATAAACCAAAAAAAAAAATAAAAAAGAGATGATCCAAACGCCAAAAAGGGCGGAAGTTGGAAAATTTTTTAACCTGGCTTTTGACTTTGAGATTGATGTGAGCCGTTTGATCAGCGGGCTTCTTGTCTTCCTCTTGATTGGTTACTCCTGACATCCTCTTCTACTACTTCTGGGCTATATGGGAGGGTCCGTTTAGGGTTTGTGTTTCGGATTTTCGGGGCTCCGAGTTAGCGATTGATTTTTCTCTTTCTTTTTTTTTTTTTTTGGCTTGGCTGGAGAATCACGCGATCACAGTGGAGGGAGATTTTTCTTTTATCTTCGTTGTCGGAATAAGAAATGGACGGTTAGGATTTTTTAGTGGAGATGCATCGGGCGGACTGGAAAATATTGGTTTCTCATTGAGACTCGGCATCGTTTTAAACTGTTTTGGGAGAGAAATCTCTTGCTTGCCCAATGGACAAAGTACAAAAGGGAATTAAGCCCAGATCTAATTAACCCAAGCCCTAATTCGATACGACCACAAAACAAAAACCCAAACAAAAATAGCTTTTGGGCTTTGGATTAATCGGATTTTTGAAGGTAAATTTGAGATCCAAATTTTTACTTTGTTTTTGATTAAAATACTGAGAAAATCTTTGAATTATTTTACTTTTTTAAAATAAATTCCTATACTTTTATCGTATCCAATTAAATCATTAATCTTTGATTTATATTCAAATAAACTCTTATTTTAAACGAAAATTTTATTTATATTATGGGTTTATTTATAAAAAATTGAAGATGAAAGGTTAATATTTATATAAATTAAAAATTAAGGACTTATTTAAATATAAATTAAAGTTCAGAAGCTTATTTTTATATAATAAAAGTATAAAGATTTATTTAAGTAAAGTGATAAAATTTAACAAATTTTTTATTATTTTAACCTTTATTTTTTATCGGAAAAAAGAGTTTCAAACTTTTCTTTTTGAGTAAGAAATCATACGCAATCAACAAGCTAAAAGCTTAGGTGTAATTTATTGTATGAAAATATTTTTTTAATGTATTTTGAAAAAAATGCTGTCAAATACTAATGCTTATTTGTATGGTTTGTTTAGTCTCAAAACGACGTAAGAGTATAGTGAAAATCAATCATTCAAATAAAGTCTTAAGTAGAAAACAAAGAAAATTTTTAACTTTTGACTTGATTATCCAAAATAATCAATGAAAAAAATGGTCACATAGCAAAATCCAACATAATGAAAGCTATAGGCAATACCTTTAGTCTACAATATCATTCATTTAATTTCCTTCTATTCACATATCTCAATTTGCAATGTCAATCCTTTAATTTCAATCTTTCACAAGAAGTGAGGTGTGACGAGGCTAGCAATCTCAATGGTGCAAATGAAAGCTTTGTTAATTAGGGGGGGTACCTATCACCAAATTCCCATATTCAATAACTCATGGTAAGAGGAAGTAGGAAATTCTATAGCAATTTCCCATACCAAATAATAGTTGCTTCTTCATGGGAACAAATTGCACACCTCCAATTATAGGAACTTTGTTTAGGCCTCAAGTACATTATTTTGTTAGAAACATAACATTTACAACCCCAGCACCAACCATTAATTAGAAAGACGAAATTGCTAGCTTACTCTTTGTTTCACATCTGCATATTTGATTCAATAATAATTATACATAAATATATGTATTCTTTGTTCAAGAAACGAGTTTGAACCTATGCCAATTAAACTCCAATCATTATCAATTAAATCCAAATGTCGATTACAATTATATCTATTCGTTATAAATTTTTCATTGAAATTTTTTTTAATTATAATTATAGTAATTTTTTTTTCAATCAAAGTTATAGTAATTTTTATTATTATTTTTAATTTTACCAGAACCAATCTTATGTCCATCTAAATGAATCATGAATCTATCTTCTTCTTAAAAAAGTCAACATTTCATGTATATAATAAAGGCTACCGACCTAAGCAACAAAGCCAAGCCCCTTTTAAGAAGATCTTGGTGAACAAAAATCTGCCGACTTGTATGTGTACTCAACAATGAAGTTCCCATTAAAACTTGCCCAACGCCCACCAAAATCTTCACCAGAATTGCCTAAGTCCTAACCAGCTAGCAAATGAAATAACTTTATTATTAAGACAAGGGAAATCAATTCAAAGGATAAGGTCCCAAGGGTCTCTTGATGCTTCAAAAAACAAGTCAAGGAAGGAGTTGAGAGACAGATTTGTAGCGCAAAAAAAAAAAAAACTATGGTTTCAATGTCCTCATTTTTCCTAACTGAAATTCACCAAATTCCAACGTTTACATTAAGGAAAGGTGTATGTGGTAAGACTTTTTCTTCAAGTTCGGTGAGTTCCTCCCTTTAGCACTTGAGTAAGGAGTTGTGATTCTAATTAAATATGTGCCGTATAAGTCCAAATTGTATGCTTAAAAACTTATATTTTTAGCCATTAAAAAGAAGTAATTCCTTCATATACTTCAACCATTATTTAATAAAAATAATTTAAAAAATAATATATGTGTTAATCACTTAATAATATTCGTGCCGTTAAAAAATTTTGTTGGTAGTATATAAAAAATAAATTCTATATAAAATATATATTTTATATATGTTATACCTAGCATTAATCAAACTTATTATTATTAAACTTAACTTGTACAAATTATTTTCATTTTAAAATCTTGACTTTGAAATTGAAGTTGAAATCGGCCTCGTTTGGGGTAGTCAATACTCGATACAAAGCACGCGAGTGATGAGCATGATAATTTGCGTAATGGGCCTTTGCGTCGTCGTGTAGGATAAAATGAACTGACATTTACCTCGGCAGCCATAATATTCCTTGGTGGGCATGTATGAACACAAGGACCTTTGAGACCAAACCATACAAAAAAACAAATTCCAACACTATCTCCAATGTCTATTTTGTTTTCTAAAAAACAGTTGTTTGGTTATCAAGAACTTGTCTTACTGTCAAAGAATAGGTCTTGGTAACGTAGAGCTTAATTCAAATGGTTATTTTTTTTAAATAATGTAAATAATTTTTAGTATTTGTAATTTTTAAAATTTTTAAACTTTGATTTTTTTATAAAAAAAATTTAAAATCTCTCATGTTTAAATCTTCATTTACATGAATTTAAAATTAATTTAGATAAAATGGTTAAAAAAAATCTTTGAATAAAAATTTAACAATCAATAAATCTACGATGTTTTATTACAATCAATTAAATTTTTAATTTTTTATTTCAATTCAATTGAACTTTAATTGAACAAAATTTAATCATATAGCAAAATGAATTAATCAATTTTTGAATTACAATCAATTAAACCCTTAAAAGAATTTTAGAGAGAGAAGAGAAGAGAGAATAGAGAAGAAAAAAAAGAGAAAAAATATATTTTATTTAGTTTTCACATATATTAATTATACTATATGACAAATTTTTATCTATTTTATTGACATTACAAAAAATTTTATCTTAGTTGACAAAAAAATTAAAAATATTAAAATTTTCATCCAAAAAAAATAATTAAATACAAATAAATATTAAAAAATTAATTGATTGTAATAAAAAATAAAGACTTAAATAATTTTTTAATTATAATTTAGAAACTTTCAATACCCTTTAACCATTTATCAATTCATGTATTAATTTATTAGTAAATTTATTTGTTTGATTTAATTAATTAATTAATATATATATAATGCAATACGTAACGTTTGAATATGATTTTAATTTTATTTATATTTCTAAATTTATTAAAAAAAATTAATTAAAATTGATGACGACATTGATCCCCTTTCTATCTCCATCCTTAGCCAAAAAGCACGAGTCTCTATCTGAAAACATATGGTAGATCAAATTGAAAAATTCTAAAAGGTTCTCAGGCAGGTGAATTTGGGGGACCAAATTGGATTCAGACGAAAGATTTGGTTTTGTGTTTGAAAATTTTAATGAACTTTGTAGTACATAGTCAGCTTTGTAGCTAAACCACAGCAGCATAATTTGTACTAATCGAAGATTGTTCTCAAGTTGAGAAGGAAAAAAAATTGATTAGTTAATTGGTTGATTATTGATTGATTAAGTTGAGATTAATTAGTGGTTTTATGGTCAATTTTGGGATTTAAAAATATGATTAATAAGGTTTAATATTACTAATCATAACCGGCATTTTGCTTTAGTCTTGTCTTTTTCTTCATTCAAGTGTGGCTGTTCTTATCCAATTTAGAGTAGATTTGCATCTCTAACTGCCTCCAATACGGTGCAATTAAGTTTCAAAAATTTTCAATAAAATTCAAACGTTAAAATCAATGAGATGAGTTTCATCAAACACAGTATACAATTTTTATAAACTTAAAAAGTTCGAAGAAATTTTTTTAATCATAATTATAATAATTTTTATTGTTATTTTAAATTTCACCGTTTATTTAAATAATCCTTTAAACATTCAACATTTTCCGATTAAAACTTTGGATATCGGTAATTGCAAATCGCAATTACTCTTTATTGTTCTTATCCATAGACAAACTTGGGTTTGAATTTTTCATTTTTTAAAATATGTATCTTTTGTTTTTAAAAATTATTTTATCCAAAGCAAATGCTGTTTAAAATTTAATTGATTGGATTAGGGATAGTTACCTATCCCATTAAAATACATTTAAAAATTAAAAAATATATATAAATGAAAATTGTGATAATATTTTATCACGAAATTTTTAAATTTTATTGATGGTTTAAATAAAATGAACTCATGTAAAATTTGAATACAAATTTAAAATTTTATTTAAAAAAAAAAAAAAAACCATATATCCTTTTGATTAAAAGTTGGTTATAGCCAAAGAAAATGGCTCAATCAATCATATCATATTGGAATACTTGTTAGCCAAGAGTTATAGTGTGAATCCTAATAATGGGAGACAAAGACTATTAGAAAATTGCTAATAGGGACAATGAATCATGTTGTTCTTTCCCTAGCAATGCCTTGTCTTGCAATATTCATCCATTTGCAATATTTATGATAAAATGTATCATGTAATCAACATGTCATATTATCTCTATGATTATGGCATATTAAATATAATGAAACTTTGGTTGGACTCTTTCTTTAATCACATTTTTACACCTTAACCACAATTAAGAATACGTAAAACACTTGTTAAATTAAAAGTATATACATAAACATTTTTTTTTTTATGGAAAGTGAAAAATGTGTCAAAGAAAGTAATATATTTTTTTGTTAAAAAATAAAAAATAAATAAATTATTCAATCTCTCAAATCAAAATAAAATATATTGTATTAAAAGTATTTAAGACGAGTGATTATTAAAATCGTATATTCAACATAACTCAAACAAATGATCATTAGCTTTTATCTCAATATAATATTTTTAGTTTTTGATAATTTTAAAGAATTTTTTTTTTTTTTAACATCAACTCAATTTATCAAGATTTTTATTTTTAGAATGCTGTCCACAAAAATTAAATTAACCTTTGTGGTTTTAGGAGGGCTTAGATGTTTTAGTAGAAATGAAGATAATCAAAGAGTTAACTTTGAACAGCAAAACATGTCATTTCCCAACCATATTCAGCCAATTGAAGCATACCCATCGTTAAAAAAATTTCTCAATTTGATCCAATAATAAAACCAAACAACAAATTAGCTGTCAATCCAACGTTTGAATTTGGGGAAAAAACATAGAAACCTGAGCAGAATTTCTCATTTTGCGAAAGATAAAATGTATCCATCCACATAAAGATAATGAATCATCTCGTGATTGCTAACCATCATGTGATTGGCCGAACCCCATTCATCAAGGACATGTGTATGGCCATGATGCTATGTCCCACTCCAAATCTAAATCGAACCGAAAGACAGTGCTGAAGATTGGTCGAGTTGGTAGTTTCCATTGGATTTGAACCCACTTTTTTGCTTTCAGCAAGCTTCGTCATAGGATCCCCCCATATTACCCCACTCTGCTCCTATATAACTACGTTAAAATAACACTTATCAAAAATTAAAATTTGGTTAATTTCTCTGCTAATCTAATTTTTCTTCCCCCATTTTTCATTTTCATGCTCTGCTTGATCCAAGCTCAGGGCATGGCTTCCCAAGCTTTCTCTCTTCTCTTTCTTCTCCTTTCAGCCATTGCTGTTTCAGGTATGAACTTCAAAGTTCAAACTTAAAACCCTTTTTTTCTTCATGTCTGAACTCAAACTTAAAACTCAAAAGTTTTTTGTTTAATTGAAGTTGTCAGAAACTTAAAGCTTCCTTTTTGCCCAACTTTTTATTTACATTTTTTGCAGATGCTGGTTCGATTGGGATTAACTATGGTCGTGTAGCCAACAACTTGCCTTCGCCAGACAAAGTTGTGGAACTCTTGAAAGCTCAGGGGTTAACCAAAGTCAAGCTTTACGACACCGACGCCACAGTTCTAACAGCTTTAGGAAACTCAGGGATCAACGTAGTTGTTGCTCTTGCTAATGAACTCCTGGCATCAGCCGCAGCCGACCAGTCCTTTGCTGACAATTGGGTTCAATCCAACATCGCCAAATTCTACCCTGCAACAAAGATTGAAGCCATAGCTGTTGGAAACGAAGTCTTTGTCGATCCCAATAACACGACAAACTACCTCGTACCAGCCATGAAAAACGTCCATGCTTCACTTGTTAAGTTCAACTTGGATTCCAACATCAAAATCTCTTCCCCTATAGCTCTCAGTGCTTTGCAAAATTCTTACCCTTCATCATCCGGTTCATTCAAACCGGACTTGGTCGAACCTGTGATTAAACCCATGTTAGATTTCTTGAAACAAACCGGGTCTTACGTCATGGTTAATGCCTACCCATTTTTTGCTTATACAGATAACTCTGATAAAATCTCACTTGACTACGCTTTGTTTAATGAGAATTCCGGGGTGGTTGATCCGGGTAACGGGTTGAAATATTACAGTCTTTTCGACGCTCAAATCGACGCCGTTTTTGCTGCCATGTCGGCTCTTAAATACGGTGACATAAAGATGGTTGTGAGTGAAACGGGGTGGCCTTCAAAGGGTGATGCGAATGAAATTGGTGCAAGTCAGGCTAATGCGGCGTCGTATAATGGTAACTTGGTACGAAGAGTTTTGAGTGGAAATGGGACCCCTTTGAGACCCCAGGACCCACTTAACGTTTATTTGTTTGCTTTGTTCAATGAGAACCAAAAATCAGGTCCTACCTCAGAAAAAAATTATGGGTTATTTTATCCTAATGAACAAAAGGTATATAACATACCATTAACACAAGAGGACCTTAAAAGTGGCCAGCCAACGCCGGTCAATGTAAATACGAGTCAGCCTCCGGTGTCCAGTGAAGTGTCCAAGACGTCGGTAGGGCAGACATGGTGCGTGGCCAATGCGAACGCCGGCGAGAAGAAGCTGCAGGCGGCATTGGATTATGCTTGTGGTGAGGGAGGGGCTGATTGCAGCCCTATTCAACCTGATGCAACATGTTATAATCCCAACACTCTTGTGGCACATGCCTCTTATGCTTTCAATAGTTATTACCAAAAGAACACACGTGGGACTGGCACGTGCGACTTCGGCGGTGCGGCTTACGTGGTCTCGCAACCTCCTAGTACGTATCCTATCCTTTCCCTTCCATCTTCAAATTCATAAAATAAAAATAAAATTAGGGTTAAATGCAATTCAAGTATTTGAATGTTTATCTAGTGGAATTTCTTTTTTAGGTACATTGCAAATGGGAATTCTAATAGAAGCAACTAAATTTAGTGTTGATGATGAATATCACATTGATTAGGAAAATGATGGGTGTTTTATGGGCATTTAGTGTAAAATGTTGATATATCTATATATAGATTTCATGGAATTTGTTACTTGATTTTATCATGGCAAGGACTAGGACATATAACTTATTTTAATATTTTATAGAACACATTTTAATGTCAGTCCATTTGATTTTAAGTCCATTTTTTTTCTGCTTTCATGTCAATTCATCAAAATAAAAACAATGAAACTTGAAATTTAAGTGATCCCAACATTCTTGATCACCGATTTAATTAAGAAAGGTACTTGATACTTGCAAACTTTTAAATCTTATTAAAATGGGTAAAATGGTTTATGGGCAAAAAAGCAACTTGTGTACCTATGAAAAGTTTCAAACACTTTCCTAAGCTATAAATAAATATATATGATAACCATTTTAATAAAAACAAACTAACAAAGTTAGGCCATTCATAATTAGGACAGTTGAAAACTTTTCATATTACACTTTAGCAGTTGGAAATTGGGGCTGAAATTCATCATGAATATATATATATATATATAGATATATATATATATATATATATAATTTTTGAGTTTAGAATTCAATTAATTATTTCGTATAGGTACTTTTAAAAAATAACATTTAATTTGTCTGAATTTAAATTTTAGTACATGTAATTTATTTTTTTATTTCCAAATTGTAATTTCCTTCATATAAAAAATTATTTTTTAAAAAAAATTATATGCTATCTCTAGCCATTAAAATGTGGGGGCTATAATAAATAAGTTTAAAGGGATTTTCAGTGATAAACTATTAAGACTTGCTTTGCCTTAGTTTTTGCTCTTTTTTCAAACATATCATTTATTGCTGTTGTGCCCACCTTTGACTTCTAAAGAGTTCATTTTGGCCTAAACTTTGCTGCTTTATTATAAATTTGCATTGCAGAATATGGCAACTGTGAGTTTCCAACAGGTTACTGAATGTGGGAAAACAAAGGGAAGATTTGGTGAATTTCAGCAACAGATTTGTTGGGTGCTACAATAAATTTGACAATTTTATTTTCTTTGTATTAATCTATTCTTATATATGAGTATATAAATATATATAGTAGGTGGAGTTGTTGTCAGTTGGTTTGACTCTCTTTGTCTATTATTTGTGTCCCTATTTGTTATTATCATTTTTCCTATGAATTATTGTTAGTATTACATAACATATTCATTTTATTATTATTTGGTGTTAGATGATGCCTTTTGTCTTTTTTTTTTTTTAAAGGGGGGGGAGGGGGGGGAGAGTAAGAATGTAAATAATATATTAGTGCTTATAAGTTATTCATGTTCGATTTAAATAACATTTAAATTTAGCTCAATTATTATCGAGTTAAGCTTGAATTCGAGTAATTCAACTCATTGATCGAATCGAGTTTAAGTATTTTTATATCCGATTCGAGTAATTCGTAAATTTAATCGAATTTTTATATTTAAATATATTTTTATTATTTTAATTAATAAAATATCTCGAACTTGAGTCAAACACAAATAATCGAATTTTTGTCAAATATAAGAATCGAGTTTTATTTTACATGTTATCGAGCTTAATTGAACGAGTTCAAGTAATTTGATTTTCATCTCGAATTAAGCTCGAGCTAAAAAAATAACTCGATCGAGTTTGAGTTTAATTTCAAGCCTCAAATTTTGAATCGAATTCGAACTTAAATTTAATATTATATTAACTTGAACTCAATCTATTACACTTTTAAAGAAAAGGCAAAGCTTTCTTACATAAGACAAGAGAGGAGGTTTGATTCGAAATGAAGTCTGTGTTTTCCTAAAGGCTTCTATACCTATCAAGCCACGAAGCGAAAGACTTATACCTTTGGGTATTTTCATATATAATTTTTAATTTTTTACTATATATAATTTTGTAAAATAATTTAATTTTGATCTTTTTGTGATGTTATTCATTAACAATTATATATGATGTTCATATAAAAATAATATTGACAATATGAAAATATTGACTTTACATCATTTCGGATTATACACGAGCGTGATGTTATTTTCAGTTAAATATGTAATAGGATAAGAGGATTTAAGCGTACAATATATATATAAAAAAAAACAAAAAACAAAACAGAACAAAAGGGATCCAAATAAAATAATTAAAATTTGGGCAGATTGGAAAATTATTGGAAAGATTTGGGCCATAGTTTCTTTACCCATGTTTGAATTTTTTTTCATTAAGTTGGAAATATGCAATTAGCCTAATTTCTCACCGATTGCCCAAGTTTAAGATTCATGGGCTTATGGTTTGGATTAGCCGAACATGAAATTGCCTGAAGATCTATGGAAAAGAAGCATTTGGGCTCCAAGTTTTTTCAAATTGGGCTATATGCGCAATCCCTAATCTTGCAGTTTCCAATACCCAAATACTATGTACATGCGTTTATACATATATGTATTCATACACGTACATATATACATATTTGCATATATATATATATATATGCATACGGCTGCATTGTTATGATGTATATATTCATCACCGATATACCAATTAACAGTTATTTTGAAATATTTTTCCATAATATTTTAATTTTTTTACAATTTTTGTAATTTTTTTGGTAACTCTCGATGAAATTTTGATAACTTTTGACATTTTTTTTTATAAGGTTTGAAGTAATTTTTGTAATTTTTGATGTGATTTTCATAACATTTGTAAGATTTTTTTTAACTTTAGTAAAATTTTTGGTAAAAAAATTATAAAAGGAATAATAACTAATTCCACACAAATAGGTTATGATGCTTTTTCACTTTAAAAGTGGGCTTAGTTAATCACAAGATGCCAAAATTTAGCTTAGTTGTGTATTAACTCATATGGAATGAATAATGTCGATGAGTTCAACATTTGCTTTTACGAATCGATCTTCGTTTTTGTTCTTGTTCGTTTATTAAATTTAATAAAATTATTTTGTTATTAAATAAATTGAATACAAATAATTATTTATATATGCGATTACATTTATTTAAAATTTATTTTAAATTCGTTTATTTATTATTTATTTATAATAACAATAAAATTATATTTTTATTTTTTTACTTTAATTTTATTTTAAAATTTGTTTATGTTTATTTGATTTATTTATGTTTGATTAGGATTTATTTATTTAAATTTATTTGATTATGATTGATTTATCATTTATAAATATATTTATTTATATATGTTCGTAAACATATTTGTTTAATATTCATGAATAAATTATTTAATTTAATTAAATCAAATATGAATTAAATGTAAATATTATATTACTTAAACGAATTAAATTTAAATAAATAAAATAATTTTTTTATCGAACATTTATAAAAATAAACGAATAAATCATAAATATATATATTCATTTATTCATTCATATTTAATTCATTTCCAATTTTATACAAGAAACAAATGAATTTATAATAAAATTAAAATTCGATCTTCAATATTTACAATTTTTTTTCTTTGACCTCGTTTATGCCAAAAAAGTTCCTTTAAAACAAATAAAAAAAAAAATCAGACGGCAGCGATGTGTTGAAACCTGTCTCCTTAAACAAAGATCAACTTGCACAATTTTGGACCCAACTCAACTCCTTGTTCAGTTCTGACTTAAATTTGCTCATTAACAATACTATTTCTTTCAAAAACAAATGCTAATTGATATGAAAAGTCTTTTCGCAACTATTTAATGTAAATATGGTCCGTAATATTCAACTATATAATGATAATTAATTCTTTTTCATCTTATAAATTTATAAATTTTATTGATTTCAAATTTTAATTTAATTAATTTATACAATTATTTTTAATTAATAGTATTTAGTAGATCGAAATTTCGTATCTTATCACACACAATCTTTTTTTTTTCACTCTCGAATTGTTATTTCCTACGTACCAAAAAAAAATATTTATAAATTTTATCTTGCCTATCAAAATTCAAACTTTTAATGTAAATTTTAAGTTCTAATAGTTGAGATGTCTACTTGTAAAATCATCCTCATATGCTAATACTTACTTCATTTTAGTTAATCACGAAATGGATACAAGTGTTTCCTATTCTAAAATCAAGCATATGGGACCGTATGTCTCATGTATTAAGGCATTGATATTTGATACTTACCGTTGAGTACAGAATTCATTGACATGATGAAGACCGGCGAATATAAGTTAGTAAATGGTTAAACTATATATTAAAATTTTACCATTTTATTTAGGGTATAAACATGATAAATATGAATGAATAAATGAATGTTCATAATTTGTTCGTTTATTTTTAAAATTATTTGATAAAAAATTTGTTCATTAAGTTTGAGTTAGATTCGATTAAATGATTTATTATGTTTATTACATTCAAGTTCAATTTGAGTTTGATTTGGCTTGCTTTTAGTTGCATTCGACTTATTTCAATTAAATGAATTTGTTCGTAAATATTAAATAAACACTTTTATAAATAATAAATAAATATGTTCATGAAAAATAAAAAATTATAATAAGACAAATAAAATACAATTATAAAATTAAAAATAAATAAATATAAACAAACTTTATGTGAATATAAATGAAACCTAAATGAGCGAATTTTAATCAAACCTTAAACTAGTTTATTCGTGAACATAAATGAACCAAATAGATTTTTTCATATTCGGTTTATTTAATAAATGAATGTACAAAATGTTATTTAAGATTATTTGTCAAACTTAATAAACGAATATAAACCAAACATTCACGAAAAATTTATAAAAAACTATATTCATTTACACTTCTAATTTTATTTATATAAAAAATACATCTCTCACCTATTAAACATCTCATTAAAAACTAAAGTCAGGCATTAAAATAAAATTTTGTTAACCAGTGTTTTAAAGGTATATATTAAGGATATATTTGATATACAAGTTTATGATAAAATAAGATAAAATGATATTACAAATATGATTATATTAAATAATATCATCTTATCTTGTGTTTGATGCGTGCAATGATTAAAATAAGATAATTTATTTGTTGATCAAAATTATCTTTTTTTAAAGTTTATATAATTTAAATTATTGATATAATTTTTAATGGTATACTAAGATATATATTTAATCTCATAAATTAAAAATAATATTTTTTACTTTAAAAGAATTAGACTATTTTATATCAAAAAAATAATTAATTCTCTTTGAAATCTTATCATTTTTTATATACAAATAAAGTATAATATAAAATAATTAACATCATATCCTATTTATCTTCTTATATATAAAACATTATCTAAAATTATTAAATTAAATAATATTTTCTTTCAATTCATTGAAAATCAGTGTATTAACTATAAAGTATCGTATTTAATGAAAAAATTACTATAAATAAAATATTAATTTAAAAAAATAGTCTTAAAGAATGTTCTTATAATAATTATTAATAAAATTTTTAAATATATATATCTTAAAAGAAAACAATTAAAATTTTAAAAGCATATAGTAGTTTTTTTTTTTTTTTTTTGGGGGGGGGGGGGTGGGGTGGGTTGAGTAAACAAATAAAATGAGAAATCACAATGGAAAGCAATCCCCAAACAAAATAGAAGAAAACAAAGCAAAAGATGAAAAGAAAAGGGGCGACTGTAATGAGCAGTTTGTACGCTGCTGCATTTCTCATTAGATGGCGTGTGAGTCTCGCAAAGAAACATACATGGGTTGCGGGGCAGATGGGCCAGCTGGTGGGGTTCGTTCATCGTTTTGATGCGTTTTGCGCACCAATGCGTTACCTTCAAGGCACCTCAACATTGAATTTTTTACTTTCTTCCAATTTCTTTTTTATTCAATTGAAATTTTAGTCCAAATGGGTTATAAGAATAGATTTGGAAAAATTGAAATTTGATCCCAACAATTATATTTCTTTTTTCTCCGACCCCTCTTATGAAAAAATTTATATTTTTTTCAATTTCAAGAGAACACCATATTTATTAGAGTTTCAATCTCCATTTTCAATATATTGAGTTTGAATTTTGAGATGAAATTTGTGAAATAGGAGACTGTTACTTCTGATTATACACCATAAGAATTTAACTACTTCTTAATAGCCCTTCCCTTTTTTTTTTTAAATATGACGATTCGTTTATTAGTATTATAAAAAGTATTAAAATTCAAATATTTATATCATATTTTATAATATAATTATGTGTAACAATATGTATTGATAGAAAAATATGAAATATATTTTTTATTTTATTAAATTTATATATATTTATTATTAA